CCCCCTTAGTGTTGAAGACAACTGCATCTCATGGAGTCTTGACTTAAAGGACTCCACTGAAGTAGCTTCCCTGACTTCTGTAGGAAGTAGGTTCCACTGAGCTGTTGTTCTTGGTACGAAAGAGTATCTGTAGCAGTCCTTCTTAGATGTAGGGTGAACAAAGGATAATGAAGATGATTTTCTAGTTGACATTTTGTCCCGTGTGGAATCAACTTGGTACTGATCAACATCAATTGCGATTTTGTGGTGAATGGATTTGTAGAGCAAGGTTAGTCTGGATATGGTTCTGCGTTCCTCCAATGATTTCCATGATCAAGCTGAAGTTGTGTCTGATAATGACCACATCCTCGGACTACACCAAAACTGAGGATGACGAGAAAGTCACTCCTCTATTACCCTCAAACACCTTTGATGAGAATACATCCTGGCACAATGTGTGGAATCTACAACGTGTGTAACGTCCTATCTTTTGCAATATTGTGTGTCCTGACTGGTCCCATCCAATCAAGGGCAATACATGGGTATTTCGAAAGAACGTAAAGCGTTATACAGTTTACAACATGTTGAAAGTATTGCCAACTGATGACTATTATAAAACAGAAATTGTTGACCTCAACTTTCCATCAATCGATCTCGCAGATAACAGTCTGGTAAATTCAAACACGGGAGTCTGTGACTAGACTAGTCAGTGGTACCAAAACGTTCACATAAACAGTGAACGTGGACTTGCGAGACTTTTAAGAATACTCTCGCCGTATACGTTTCCGCTTACCCTGTAGTCTGTACACGGAAAGGGTTCCTTTGCATTTGGGTCTTATTCGCCTTATTCGCCTTTAGATCCAGATCGGCCAAACTAACACCCTTTTCCTTTTGTGTTGCATGTAAGACCTAACTAAGTGGCGGACAGTCGTGTTTTGTAAACTAAAACGCAAAAACCCAAGAAGGAATTGGTGTCAACAACAGCAGCAGGGAAATACAGAGACTGACCAGTGAGCTTCCCGTTTGCATGAAAGATCGGGATGACTAGGATCCAGAGGAACTCTCGCCTGGGGGCGACCTACATTGTACATGTAGTAGTAAGCAACAACAGCAGGAAGGGTTGTATGTAGGTCTATAGTCTGACTCTGCACGATGCCCTTTCCAATCGTGATCCAATTCATCTTGATTATCAAACGCCTATTTGTGTTACGGCTAACTCGTTCGCAAGCGAAATTGGTTGTGTGTTGTGGACAGCAAATTAGAATTCCGGGAAGATGGAGCATGCTGATTGATTGTGTTCATAATTTCGAATTCTGTATCTGAGTAGGCCTATAGATGTCTTTGTACTCTTTCTATTTTTGTTAATTTTTAAATTAAATAAAAAGTTCACTAAAGACAATAAAAGAAAGAAAAACCTTAAGGCCTGTTTCTGACCACGACGATATGCAAAAATTAAAAAAAAATAATATAGGCCTAAATTGAAAAAAATCAAACATGAATGTTGAAGTACAACGGATAAAAAAAAATACCAAATGCACTTTAGAAACTTCAGAAAATGTACACAATGACTGAACAGCATGCGGAAACAACAAAACTCAGGAATGCGTGCCGTTAATACTGCAGATTTCCCCAAATTCCGGTGAAGCTATGCAATGCAGGGAGACGGTTTAATTCCAAAGGCATTCCCCGCTAGAGTTAGACAATCAGTTACCAGTCATCACGGTGAGAGTTGCGAATAAATATGTTGCCAACTCATTTACATTTTCGCTGCAGCATGTTACAAAATGTAAGTCACTTTGCTCGTATCCAAACGGGGCGCTGGGAAGGGATAATCTCCTTTACACCATTTTGTGAAGGAAACACAGGCGCGCAAAGCATTGTAGGGGCTATACTGCCTCATTCAATACATTCAGTGCGCACGCGTCATGCCGCAGGCGGAAAGCTTGACCCGTGTTATTGTTCAAACAAATTATATCCAATGAGGACTCGAAGAAATAACGTCATACATCCAGAAAAAATTAGCCCTTCCCAGCGCGCCCTGGGTATACGAGCATAGCTCCATATGTACTGGCGAAAGTCGTCACTCGCTGTAAAACTAGCGCATGCGCACATTCGTATGTTTGTCATACTGGCGATGTATGCGAACGAGCTCATCACCACACAGGCCTAGCCGCATGCTTGATTTCTTGTGTTCTGTTTTGACCGTAGGTAGAAATGTAATAAAACAGCAACATATGTATATTGATCAACTCTGGCCAGTTGTTTGCTAATGAAAGAAGAACCACAAGTTCTTGTAACTTGGAAATTGTGTTCTCCCTTTATGTGCATGATGATGTACGAGCATGCCAACTGTCGTGTTGTTTTAGTGGTGACACTTGTGGCGAAGCTTGGCAACTGAATGAGAAGTCATCACTCATCAAATGCTCATTCGACATTAGACGCTCACATTCGGCAAACTGGGACCAGAGCACGTCAAGCTCCTCAACGTCTCGGCCAACAAACAGCTAATTAAGGTGCAACCTCGTGAATATACATCTATATTTTAATATCTTGGTGCATCCTCGCCGCATCCGTGTTTGATTGAAGACCATCATGAGGGTGAGTGCATTATTGGATCTGTGGAATGAGCAACTTGTTTCGATTTTTTGTTCATCAATTCCCAGAGTTTTGCTGGGCCAACTCTGGTCAGGAAAAAGCAATATACGGTCAGATCAGATAAGATTTCAGGGGAACTATTTCTTGTCAGGCTCTCGATAGCTTCCTACGTATACTAAACGTTCAGTATTATGTACGAAATTCTGGGATTTCCTTTTTCACGTCACGGAAGAAAAATGACAGTTTCGGGAGTTTCGTGGCCCGATTTTAAAACTCTGATTGTTATTATTTATTTCTGGTAATAAAACCAAGGATTCCTCAAAAGCGCACTAGGAACTGTAGCTCGAAAGCTTAGAGAGGAGACAATGAGAAGAAATGACAGTTTTAGAAGTGGGAGGAAAACCCCAGAATGTTATTCTAGAAAAAACCCACAGAATCAGGTAGGGATGAAAATCCAATCCAAATGTGGCCAGGGCAGGAAACGAACCCGGGTCACAGCGGTGGAAGGAGAGAAAAGAACCGCTGCGCCAACTTGACTCCCCGATGATATGATACTTGACTCATTGCGACAAAATTTACGTACATGATACTTGTCATCAGATGTAATCGATAAAAGACTTGACTTGAACAGTGCAAAACAAACCATGCGGCGATCACAACAATCATGATAAAAATATTTTAGAATGCAGGTATATGCATGCAGTCATAATCAATAGATTGCCCTGTTAAAAGTTGCATACCAAAAAAAAGAAGAAGAACGGATGATAAAAGGTAAAGGTAAGAGGGTCTTCACAGGAACGGAGTGCCCATCTCTCTTTCGAAGCGATTGGGCCAGACTCGAGTCCGTGAAATACTGCTGTTCGGGGATCGCCACAACTCCTTCACAGCGAGTCTGTTACATTCCCAGCATTGAATAATGCCGGTACCCTTTTAACACCTTGGTTGAGATGAGTAATTGAGGTAAAGCGCCTTACTCAAGGGCACAACACACATGGCCACGACGGGGCTCGAACCTTAACCCAAATCTCACGTTCATGGATCCTACGCCATACCGCTAGACCACATGTAATGATAAAAAGACCCACTTATTTTCATAATTGGAAAGCGTGTGCTCTTCTAGGCCAACGTGACATTAAAAGTAAATTATGAAATCAAACAAAGGGAAACATCAGACAGTCTACGTCATCATCTTCATTAGAGTGCCATGATCAACATTGGCTGCAAATTGACTTCTTGTCGATATTGTACTGGGCAGAGTTTAATTACCTCTTCCTCCGCCGCGTCGTTTAGTTACTATCCAATTATACCAAAGTCCATTACCGTGCCTTTCAGCATGCTTTGGTTAGGTTTACGCTACCCTTTATAAACAGGACAGAATTGGCCTTCATGGTCAATTAAATGTTAAAATGAGACATAATGACACACAACACTACTGTGTGAATGTATGATCCATATTTGAGTTGTACAAACCGTTGGATTTATCATGTCCTCATGCTGATTGGTTGAGAGAACAAGGTTATCAAATACGAAACGTCTGTGGAGTAAATTGCAATAGCAACGCGACGTGTTGAATTTGAATTTAATCAAATATGTAGAAATATTTTGGTGAATTTTGTGCAGATTTGGAGATGCTTTGATGCACTTTTATAAAACATTTCTCTTTCTCCTCTTACAAAACACGAGAATTTGTTTTTCTCCTCCATGCTCATTTAAGAAGTTGAATCTCTCCTTCTCTAACTCAATCTGTGTCCTTTAGGCCAAAAAAAAATATTCGGTCTCTGGTCAGACCAAAGTTCCGGAATTGACGCGGCCACGCGGCTTTTTTTTTTTTCCTTCAAGCTTGGATTGTACAGACAAGGTGGGGTACTATTTTGCTTTTTTGGTGTCCTCATGTACATTGGTGTCCTCCATAATTTGCCTTGGTGCAATTTCCCATTCCTTGGTGCTCTTTGGTAAAAAAAATTGAGGAGGTGCGGAAATAGAGGGCGCTGTTGGAGCTACCGCAGAACTTTGGGAAAAAAAAGATCGACGCGCATGATTAAAATCGACGCGCGCGCTGACCAGAGACCGACTTATTTGTTTTTTTGGCCTTATCCTCAACCTTTGAAATTAACGGTATTCCCAGCTCACACATGTGTCAGTGAGTACTTCTTTGAAAGGTTCACGTGTTTATTTTTTTATCAATTTTTATCCCAGGGCACATCAACAACTATCTCTATCGAGTTAGACAGGGTCGTCCATCCTTGATATCATCACGCACAGACCATTAAGGTTTTATAACTCAATTGGCGGCAGACTAAGAATTGATCTAATCTCTGCTGTACAGAAAAGGAAAGATAACCAGGATTACTTGCAGGTCGAGCTGCAACCTTCATGTATGATCTTAAGCTTTTATTAGAGCTACGTGTACATGTAAGTGAGCACCCAGTTCCAAAATGGAGGGAGCTGTTTCATCAACTGTTTCATCAACATCTTTAACAACGGGAACAGAAGACACCAATGTGCTCCTTATCACTTTCCGTACCATCTTCATTTTCTGCGATGTGCTCTGCACAGTATGTGGTAACATCATCTCTACCATCATCATCCACAGAGCCAAAGGGTTTTCAGACAGTGTCCAGGTGCTGATGACTTCCCTCTGCCTGGCTGATCTCGGAGTTGGCCTGACGCTGATTTCTTCCCTGGTATCATCAGGGGCTGACTGGTGGATCTTTGGGGACCCTTGGTGCAAAATCACAGCCGGTCTGCTGGCCGTTTGCCTCAGCATGTCTGTGTTTTCGTTACTGGGAGTCAGTGTAGACCGCCTCGTTGCCATACGCTGGCCGCTACGGCACCCAATGTTGATCACAAAGCGTAGAGTTCAGATCGGATGCGTGGTACTTTGGGTTACCAGCGCAATCATCGCTGCAGGAAATGTTTTGATGCATTTCGAGGTTACCGTCTACCTGCAAGTAGCGTCGATATGTTACGTCAATTTCTCACCCGGTGCGGGAGGCATTGCCAACGAGGTCTTCGTCGCGACAGTTCTCTGCGCGGTTCCTCTTGGCACCATTGTTCTCATTTACGCCAATCTACTGCGCATCAGTGCTGGACACCAGCGGCGATTACGTAATAATCTGCACTTGCAGCCCACGGAGGCCAGCGTTCACACCAACCAAGAGGCCTCTTTGAACCAGACTACACCCAAACCTACCACCGGGAACAAAGGGAGAGCTGCGTTGAACAGTAAGGCCCTCATAATGTTCCTTGTGGTGTCGCTAGGGTTCGCACTGTGCTGGGTGCCTCACTTTGCCATGAGGCTCTACGGGGCAATGACAGGAGGTCCCCTCCCTGCTTGGCTCCAACTTTTGTACGTGTGGCTCCCGATGTCCAACAGTTTCTGGAACGTGATTATTTACACCTTGATGAATGGCTCTTTCAGAAGAGAGGTGATCAAGCTACTCAGGTGTGTGAGGTGCTGCTTGAGGCGCAGGATAGTGCCTCAGACAAATGAAAGCATCAGAGGAGAGCACCCGACGAGGTTAGCACTAGCAGGCAGACCTCGTACACAAACCCTTGGTGAATCCACTGTAAAGTAGGGTACCGGAGTGTCTCTATGAATCAGAGGTCAATGGTGAACCAATGGTGAAGCATATGGTGCCTCAGAATGAACAATGCCCATTGAGGTTTACATACGGACCTCATCGTATCTTGGGAACCCCAAGAGGTGCTCCTCGAAAAAAAAGAAGGAAATGGATATGATCCACAAGTTGGAGTTGAACAGGACCTGACCCACTTTATCAATGGTAAATCGTCTTGGAGGCAAAAATAATATCAAACATGGGAGGGATGCCAAATTTTAACAAACGCAGTGGAGGAAATGTTCTCATGGATTGCGTACTAATCTTATTATGATGTAATTCTATGATGTAAACAGTGTAAAATAATTCAAACTAATTAATAATTACTCTGGATAAATTGATAAGGACTAAAATAGATCAAGGATTGGATGAGTCACGTAATGGATGCCGCTTTTGGTGCCTCAATCAAATTAGTTCGCAGACTACGAAAGACTTGATTAAAAATTAGTAGGGATGATGTGGGATACAGATATTCGTCCATATTTGAGGGCGTCTCAAATCACAAATAACGACAAAGCATGAATTGCTAAACAATTAAAATTGACTGTAGTTATTTCTTGATATTGTGTCTGTTAAGTCAAGGGTGGTGTGCCACTCACCAAAGAACTAAAGTCACTGAAGACAATTCCAATAATATCGCATGTGTAGTTGACATTATATTTTATGCCAAACCGAAACTATATTTTGCAATCACGGGTAAAATGTCATAATTAATGAGGTCACTTTCTCTTGACATCGCAGGAAGATGGATTTAAAATATAGCGCTGTATATCAACCTCTTGAATTGTTTTAGGGAAATATGACTTACTTTCTATCATTAAAAATACTATTACCAGAATGCTATGACAGAAATTATTCGCCTCTACAATTCCAAAGGAATGCAGGTGCGCCCGAGCGAAGCTTTATGTTTTTAAAAGGTCTATAGGATTGAACAATTACTTCTGATTCAACATCTCGTCTGTAGTTTGGAATAGCCTCAAGGGTTCTCGCAAACAATCAAAAGTGAACAAAACAGGCCAGCCCACCATTGAATAGCTTTCTAAAGAGCAATTTGGAAACTTGATTGCAGGTCAGAAACCAACGACATCTCCTACATCATTATCGGGTTGGTCTTACCCCCGCCAAGGGCGGATCCAGGGGGGGGGCCAAAGGGGGCCATGGCCCCCCCCAAAACGAAATCAATTTTTTTTTTTTTTTATGTGACATCGCAATAACGGCAGGCAATGAGTACACCACCATCTTTTCCTCAAAAAAAAACATTGGTTAAAGTGGTCAGAAGCTGCCTCAGATCGCACCACAGAGCATCTAGAATCCAAAAATTTTTCGGGGCCCTTAAGCGGGCCCCGAACCCCACGCCGTAATTTTTTTGACCCACTTTTTGACATAGCAATAAAGGCTGGGCAATGAGTACACCACCATCTTTTCCTCAAAAAAAAACATTGGTTAAAGTGGTCAGAAATCGCCTCAGATCACACCACAGAACATCTAGAATCCAAAAATTTTTCAGGGCCCTTAAGCGGGCCCCGAACCCCACGCCGTAATTTTTTTGACCCTTTTTTTGGGGGGAACCAAAATTTTTTTTGGCCCCCCCCAAAATTGTGTTCTGGATCCGCCCTTGACCCCCGCTGATTACCAGTGGAAAACGAAAATGGAGCAAGAGATTGCAGACCAAATAAAGCTGTAGCCAGATATTCTGTATACGTTTTATAGATCGATCCAAGCAGGAGGCAGGCATTCCCATCAAACTCACGGTCGTTGCGTCAATAATGTTAATATTCATAAACACTCGACCCTTCTATAATAGAGGGGCAAAAGATCGATGCAGTACGATGAAAAGACGTAAAATGAGAGCGATGACGCAGACGAAAGAAAACATAGCGTCGATACTTGGCAACCACGTCTTGAATTAAGGATACCTATATAATGCAGCGATCGACTTTAATCGTCCGCTCGAATCTGAATGTACCACATGTCGACTGTAATAATAGTGAAAATCTATCAAATATTATTTAAACCCAAACTGACATATCACAATGGTTGTCCCCAATTATTTTCCTTTATTTCTATTTACAAAAACCTAAACAACCGGGTCTTATTTATATGACACCTTTAAGTGTCATATAAAATTTAAGATCCGTTTTTTACAGGCAGAGGTTTTTAAACAAAGTTCTGCCTGTCAATGTACACTGTTTACATTTATTTTGTGTTATTAACATATTTGTGTATATTATTGTATCAACACTACCAACATATTTATAAAGCGACACAGAAATGCATAAATTTTTTTGTGTTCGGCTGGGGAAAATAAAATAGGATAAACCAACATCTGCTGCTCAGTGACTTTGTTCAGCACTTTCGGTATTACATGTCTATAATTTATCTGTAATTTCGAATGGAAATTGTATTTTTCGAAATCTAGTTTCCTTTTCTGGTTTTTAGAGGCACCCGACATCACTTGGAGCATCACAAGTAAGCAGTATGTTAGCATATAAACTGCACTTTAAAATACTAAATCGCACCGTTCATATAAAGGCACCCACCGCTCTTTAATAAGACAGCAAACGGTACCGTACTTACATCTTAAACCTCTATTTTGGAGGGAAGTTGTATTTTTCTGTAATCTATAAATTACCAACTATTACCAAGTTAGAATGTAAAAAAGAAGAAGCGGCACTTGAAAACTTTACGCCGATGATAAAGCACCCAGACTATGTTATTTAATAATCTATCAAGAACACAGCAAACATGGAGAAAGTTGCTCACTCAAGCTTCAACGCATCCATAAGACAAACACTAGCGTATGACCAAATTTCATAATGTTTTGGCAAGGTTGAAATGAAGATAAAAAGCAGGCGTGACGAGTATGTTATCTCTTGAATTAACCTTTGTGGACTCAACCTTCGTGATAAATAAGGCGGCATTTACTACATCTATGACCCGTTTCATCTCGATAGATACGAACGACTAGTGAGTGAGCGGTATCATCAGGACCTAACGCTAAGTGGCGGCAGCTAAGTGACGGCGCTATCTTTGCCTATACACACAAACGATCTCGAGCCGTCAGCAAAATTGAAAGAAATTTAAAAGCCTTTTACGTATTTGTCAAGTAGGCAGTTCATCACCCCAGAAATGTGTACAACCGAGCATGTTCATAGAAGCTCCTTTATCAAGGTGTAGTCTTAAAGGGGCTAAAACAGACAAACAAGCTGATTAAAGGTAGGCCTAAAGGCCGCGACTCCATCTTAGGCAAGCTGAGACAGACTCTCCACCGACTGGTCCGGTGAGGCGTAGGGGCAGCGGTGCCGCACCACGTGCTTCACAGACTCGTCAACAAAGTCGAAGTAGTTCAGGTTGAGTCTTGTGGCCAGTTTGCGGCCCAATTTCTCCAGCTTGTGCCTCCGGATGCTGGATGACGTCAGAGCCTGCTCCTCCAGATGAAAACCGTTCAAGACAATCTTGTAGTAGGTGTCACCGGCCCCTGAAATTCAGTTCAGGTTTAAAGAAATCAGAGGTTATTTTTTTTTATCATGGAAAGGTTTTGGACTCTTTCCTATGGGAAGTAATTTCTCGGTCTTTATAAGGTACAAAGGTAAAACAATTATCAGAAGAAAAATCAATGGATACGTGACTTGAAAAGAAGAGAAATGTCGCCATCGTTTGAGATTTTCAAACTCACCACTCTTTTGACCGACCAGTCTGATGTAGACATTATGGATGTGGCCACGGTACACCAATCGGTTGCCCGTGTGAAACTCGTACTCGTTCCTGGTCGTGTCCAGTACAATCCGCCGGACATCAGAGTACACGAACGTTGAATACGCGCACGCCATAAAACCCATGACGAAGTAGGTCAGAAACTGGTCCAAGGGGTTGGTCGCATAGTAGGCCACCGTGCCGAAGAACGTGGCAAGAAGACAGATGGAGGAGATCCAGAGCCAGGGTGAACGAAGAGAAACCTCGAAACGATCGGGAGACGTCTCCGTGAAGGGATGGATGGGATTCTTCTCCAGTTTGCTCTTGAAGAGCTCCTCGGGTGGCGTCCAAAAGTTCAGGTCCCACGTCCCGAATATACCAACGTGTTTATGAGGCATGTTTATAAGCGGTGGGTATTTCAACTCTAAACGTTTATAGGACCCCAAAATGAAGCCTACTGTCAGCTGAACTGAGCGATTTGAAGAAAAAAAAATTCTTCATTCTCGATGCACGCGCTGAAGATATCCAGAAATCATAGTTGAAATGTCCAAACAGTAACCAATGAAATATATAATCTTGCACAATGAAGTAAACAGCCTATTTCTTCAGTACAACAACAAAGCCCAGAATGAAACCCAGACCTCACACACATACGTAAATACAATACGCGACAGATATTACAATGTACGTATATACGTACATGTACATTGTAATATCTGTCGCGTATTGTATTTCCGCGCAAGGAGCGCAGTGCGCGATTCGAATTCCGAATCGCAAGTACATTTTTATTCTGTATCTATGGTACGTACCATACGCATTAACTGCTCGCCAAGTTGTACGCACAAGACATCAAGTTATGATCATATTTTGTATTCATTTTTTTTCTGCAGCTTTCAATCTCAAGCTCCTTTTGTATCAAGGCGCTTTCCAAAAACCAACGACTAATAATAAGGCAATACCATGAACAAGTGGGCATGTGGTTGAAACATGGACAATTTATGTTCAGAAATACACAATCACTACAGTCTCGAATGTGGTATTATAGGGGACAACACGACCTTTCATTTGAGATAAATGTGTCAGAGTGAGATGGGATATGGTACAGTGTATTTTTGTCAAAATAAATGGTTTTGGGGGGTTTTTTTGGTTAAAATAATGGATTTTAGGTAGTCATTTTGATTTTAAAAAGAGTAATTTAGTTTTACAATGCGTCGTTTTGTGCTCGAACCAAATTTCTGCGATCCACGTTCGAAAGCGCCCTCATCCAGCTCAACTGCCGTTTCAAAACATAATGATCGGGCATGTGACCTACCAAAAATCCTCTGACGCTCTCAAAAACTAGACAAAGCCACACTAGGCCTAGGGGTTGAAAGGTTGAAGGATCGTGAGTAGGCCGACACTTAATTTGGAGTCACGGCATCATTCAAGCATCTTGATGAGATTTGAAGGTTTGCATGGTGGAAAGATACTAAGACAAGATAAGTTTGCGGTAGCACAATCTCTTTATATGTGTGGTTCTGAAAAGAACCGGAGGGACTCAAAGTTCCGAGCAGTATGCTCTGCCCGTTGTCAGGAGAATGAGGGATTCCAACGATGATGCGATGTTATAAGGATGGGTGCGGTGAGGCGTGATAAGGATGCAAACTGATGAAGCTCGAAACAAGTGAAGCTGATGAAGGATTCAAGCATCTTGTTCGCACAAATCAAGCACACAATAAAACGGGGGAGGGGGGGGGGTCGTGATACTTTTCAATCGGGGCTATCTGATTCAATCAAAAATAATCTCTGGGATCAGGTCATCCGTAAATTGACGAGCATAAAAATGAAACTGACCTTTGCCAATAAAAAATGTAAAAACAAAAAGCTTCAATTTGTAACACAGAAAGAGGCTAATACTCCCAGACATCCTACTTGATCCTTCAGACCTTGGCCTGAAAGCTTGTACTATGTGTTCAATTTCAAGTCTAAGGCACAATGACGGACGATTGACAATTTCAGGCAATTTTCTACGAAAGCCCATTAGCGCCACTGCAAGTATATATGTTGCGGATTATTTAATTCGTTATTACGGATTATTAATTCGTTATTACGGATTACTAATTCGTTATAACGGATTATTAATTCGTTATTACGGATTATTTAATTCGTTATTACGGATTACTAATTCGTTATAACGGATTATTTAATTCGTTATTACGGATTATTAATTCGTTATTACGGATTACTAATTCGTTATTACGGATTACTAATTCGTAATAACGGATTATTAATTCGTTATTACGGATTACTAATTCGTTATAACGGATTATTTAATTCGTTATTACGGATTATTAATTCGTTATTACGGATTATTAATTCGTTACGGATTATTTAATTCGTTATTACGGATTACTAATTCGTTATAACGGATTATTTAATTCGTTATTACGGATTATTTAATTCGTTATTACGGATTATTTAATTCGTTATTACGGATTATTTAATTCGTTATTACGGATTACTCATACGTTCTGAGTCATTACTCGGCAAGTATGGCACAGGAGTGCAAACGCGGTTGTATGCAAAAATAGCGCCGCCTAGCGGCGTCATATACATAGGCCCCTGGTCACGTGCTCTCCACGTGTGAGAACATCAGATTTAATTCGTAATAACGAATTAATAATCCGTAATAACGAATTAATAATCCGTAATAACGAATTAATAATCCGTAATAACGAATTAATAATCCGTAATAACGAATTAAATAATCCGCAACATATATACTTGCAGTGGCGCTAATGGGCTTTCGTAATTTTCTCATACTTGTGTATTTTTTTCTTTCTGCACAGATTCAATTAACCTGCCAAAAGCTTTAATTATGTCAGGAATCGTTTGCGTGGGACAAATACGTATAATAAGGCGACATGGCTTTGGTCAAAAAACAGGCAGCATTTTCTCGTTCGTGAAGCAGGAACAACATACTAGACGAAAAGCTCAAAGGAACGTAACATGTCGAACGTTTCCAATAATTGGTTGTACAACGAACAAATTCATGGTATGTGTTTGCAATTGACAGCCACTAGACTTCGGAACCTGGGATCATTAAATAAAGTGAATACGTCTTGTGCATAGATGCTGAAATTCACGTGCCGCCAGACGAAAGTGATGGCGGCAGAAAATTCAGAGGGACTTTTATAGATATATCTAGAATGGAATTTTCCACTTACTTTCTTTTACAAAGCGGGAGATTTTTTTGGGGGGGGGGGGGGGTATCAAATCGTGAATATTTTCAAGGGAGCTTTTGTCGTCATTGCACTTTTTTTTTAAACGAAATGACCTTCATTTCCAATCGTGTCATTACGTTTCACGTAATGGTGTGGTCCTGAAAAGTTGACAAACTAATTTGCATGTGAATGCAACAGGTGCTGAGGTATCAAAGACTAACGAAAGAAAAAGCCTGAGGCAGTGTCTTTGGTAACAATCAGTATTATCCAACTGATAATAATATTGTGCGCCAAAGAAGGGGATAAATTCAATTTCATTAGATAATTGAATTGCTTTTATCATTTATTTTTTATAGAAAAAGTGGGGTTTTTTTTAGACAAGATTTTTAGGGCTGGGAAATTGACATTTGGGAGGTGGATGTCCGACAGTACAATATTAACGTCTTTAAATGAAAGGCGAGTACTTAATTTTGACGTCTGCTGATTTGGTAAAACAACTTTATTTTAATGTCCAATTTAATGAACATTTTTAACTTCACAATAAGGCCAAAAAAAGTAAAGGCTAATCTTATATATCTTTTCAGATTTTTATCAGAAATAATTCATACCTCTGAAAGGAATCACTCTTATAACACGCATTTTTTTAATTTGAGAACTGTTTTATTGAGTTCCAGCTTTATGCCATGTTATATGGTGCCCAATACAAAAGTAACATCCACACGAAACTGAACCTCATAGCATTTTATGCACGTGCTGAATCAACTTTTTTTTTAGTGGTACTGCACTAGTACTACTGCAGTAATACAGTAAAAACGAGATTTTTTACTCAAATTCAAAATAAATGAAATAAATACTATTTTGCAAGTTGAGGTATCAAATCAATGATATACATAATAGGGACGGGCTTTGTTGTTTTCATACCATTGTATATTATACAGACAGACAATACTATAAATTAAAACAAAAATCGTTTTTATGTATTAACACACTATTCCTCATTAGACTGCCAACAATGACCAAATTCTCCCCCGTTTTGTGAGGGTAAATAGGGACAGCTTCAGCCTGTCCCTATTGGACAAGAAATGACAGCTCCACCTCAAACCATTTCCTGGAAAATTGAACAGTTTCCCAAGATCCCTCTCTCCAAATAAACAACCTTCAAAAATCCTAGCAATGTTGCTGATTTAGGAACACCAAAGAAATGTACTCTACATTTCAATAAATTCAAACATAACATAGTACTTTCAAACTTTAGTCAGCCGATGCACAGAAATAAATATGATGATGTGAACCGAATTATTTGTCAGACTTGTCACAATTATCATTACGAAATATCACCAAACAGCTGGAAAACATAAAGCATTAGACTCTTACTACACGTGCAATAACGTGCAAATACACTATACATGTAGTTGTTTTAGTACTGCGAGTGGGAATTGGAAAATAATGACAATGATGCAAACAAGACATGTAGCTTTACACAGGCACTTTTTAGAAACACTGGAAATGTACTGGAGTGCAGTCCTTGTTTTAAGTCTCAGGCAGGAAAGCAATGTTCAAAAGAAGACTTGAATTCTTAAAGAAGACTTGACCCATGCCTGGACTTCAAAGCTCAAGGGTCAAGATGCAGATTTAAGACCGTTCAGTTCTTGAAAAGTATCCTTGGGTCCAAGTCAAGTCTTGGCCACTGCCTGGGACTTAAGACAAACTTGACTCCAACATTACCAATCAGCATAGCAACATCACAAATTCAAGTACGAACATAAAATAAAGTAATTTTCAAAGTTGAACAAAGTTATTGTAATAACGAACCTAGTCAGTTTCCCTTTGTGGTTTAAAATTTGAAGAATAAAATAAAGTAGTTACAAATATTACAGATTTCTACTGGGCAAAAATGGCACAACAGTATCCGAATCCTATTTCATGTTCAGATTTCAACATGTGATGCTGATTTCTGTAATCGCATAAACTTTACTGTGGTAGATTCCCTACTTGAGATAAATGTGTATGAAGAGACAAGCAGGTCCAAATCTATTTATAAAAAAATTACGATCAACAGAGGGCGCTAAACACATCACACACTCATTGAACTAAACAAGTCAAGCACACACTAATTCATCAGTAGGAAATATAGAGGGGGCTATTGCAATAGCCGAGTAACATCACAATGGATTTCTCTTGCAGGAACTACCAAATAATAACCAATATTTAGATTTTTGCCGAAAAAAATGCAAATGCTTTAAGCATGAACAGTTAAAAACTTCATAGCCTTGATTTTTGCGTTAAGGCAATCAATTTGGATGAGTGATTAACAGAAAGTGGTTGCATTACTTCCATCAATTAGCGGATCCAGGGGTGGGGCCAATGGGGGGGGGGGATCATCTCCCCAAAAAAGACTTTAATGTTTTTTAATCAGAGGAATGGAGACAAACTTTGAGTATCTCCCTCACAAGCCATCAGCCACATATCTTTTAGTTTCAATATTACAATGTGGAAGTAGCGCACGATAATATGTAATCCCTTGCTCTTTTTGAAAAAAAAAAAAAATACTTCAGCCCTCTTGGCCTCCCCCCCCCCCGAAATTTGGTTCTGGTCCGCTCTTGATTCCATCCAAAGCTATGAATGTAACCTTGACCTTAAACAAAACTCAATTTATAAATAGAATTGGAATGATAAATGTCTGAGCTCAACCTGGGAAACCACTTCAAATGATTTGATTTTGCATACGCCAAACAAGTTCCAAACTCGCGGCCATTTTTGATGTTAAGAAAAATTACATGCCTTACTCTTGTACAAAAATGAAATACTGAAGAAAAACCACCATCAATACAAAATATGTAGGGAGTTCCTGTAGGCGTTAGTCCCTGGTGGATTTGCCGCTGGATTAATGGAGTCTACCCGATGTTCCCCAATACCTATGTTCCCTAGTACTGATGTTCCCTGAATCCTTAGGATTAGGGTTAGGGCTAGGGTTGGGGAACTGGTATTGGGGAACCGGTTTTGGGGAACATAGGTATTGGGGAACATAGGTATGCACCCATGATTAATTAGAGTTGTCCCGCTTCAACATTTTTTTTCCAGAGCCTTATGAGTTGTATATGTACTTTAAAAGGTAGAAAACATTTATTAAAATCTGCTCAGATTTCAGAAGCTCATGAAAACGATACCACCGACTACTCTGTGGACTGATGCGTACTTTGGTAGTTAGCAAAGACAAAGATTAGTCACATATCAAATAACATCACTTCCTTTTCCTTTCTCTCTCTCGCTCGCTCACAAAATATTCCAATTATCATATTTACATTCAGTATACCAAAGAGCTAAGTGTTGTATCAAAACATTTAGTCAACTCTGTGCTTTTTTTAAATTCATCTCGCTGACCTATGTACATGGCTTTTTTTTTTACTATTTACACATGGAGGAGTCTTACATAGCATTGGGTGATTGTGCAATGAATAAAAAAATATGAATGCGTTTACTATCACAAGCACTGGAGTCACAATGCAAACTTTTGGGGGAAACGGCCGCAGAAGTTTCAGGAAGAGATCTTGCAGCCGAAATGATGTTCCATATCTGAATGAAAAAGACTAAAAATGTCATGTTTTGAGATTGGGTGTTCCCTAAAATCAAGAAGAAACCTGATGCCAAGACAAAAGCCGATAAAAGATCAGTTTCCCTGGAACTTTTTCAATTTGTGAGAGTATATATTATGGGATCTTTTTGATCAAAAAAGTTCTTTTGTCATTCAATAAAAGATTCAGCAACCTCTCACAAATCAGGCCTCACCAATTTATCACACAAACAAACAAATAAATAAACAGACAAACAAATACAATGCTCAGATTAGCGCTTAAAATAAGCAATACTTTCATAATTACAGCGCATTTTTAAACCCCCCCCCCTCGGATTTTAGGTTGTTAGTTTACATTTCAGGGCAGCTAAAAAGTTGGGGGTTTTAGGTTACAAGTTCATAACTGTGACCTAGGTATGCAACGAAGTTGATCAATAAACCCATGCATGGATATTTGTGCAGGAAATGTAATTCTAGTGCTTTTATGGATAGTAAAGGGAAACGTTAATGAAGAATTCTGATCTCAAGTAAATGTAACCCATCCCCCTAAATATCTTGTAGACATCTCTTTTCTGATTTAAATCACCTGACCCTGTTCAGCTATGGAATGTACCGATCTACATGAATTCTGTGAACATTTCTTGTAAGTGAGTAGAGTGTTTACCAAAACTTGTAAAGCTTGCTTGCATCTTTGATTCCCCATCTTAAGAGCTCCAATTTCTTGAAGATCCTCAGCTATGACTCCAACCCAAGTTACAAAAACATCCAATGAAGTGCAGACACCAGACCGCTCATCACATCCATGGAAGAACGTTCTGGAATAAGTTCACACAGAAGAAAAGTTTCTCCGCATTCTTTTTTGTTTTGACCTCGAAACGACCTTACCCCATTTGACCTCCGACCTGGGTCACTGGGGGATCTCTAATGAGAGGGCTTGGACTATCCAGGGGTCACACTTTGAGCCTTCTCGGAACTCCTCCTTCGTCAGCTTTCCATCTTTGTTCTGTGAATAGTAAAGTAAGAGAGGAAAGTATACTCAGTGAAGTGTTCCGTGAATATAAGTAGTATAAAGAGAAGAAAGTATGCTGAACATTATCAGCAATGGTTTCTTATGCAACTTATGCGAGTGTCATCTTTCGCGCATTAAATGCACATACATTTGTGAACATGAAGTCTGTTTTGATTTTCCATGTAGCCTGGATTTCATGTTGAAAATTCCACACAAATGGTATTAAAAACTTTCGTTTTCATTGTCTTAGAAGTTACAAAGTGATTGGCAAAGTTGGTTACGGGTACCCGATCCCATAATCTGGAACCGGTTCCTGACATCAACGGTCAGGTACTTGGGTACCAGGTTCCGATGCACACCCCTAGATCCTACGGGCTTGTGCTTACCGCATCCATCTGGCCAAATATTTTATTGACTCTCTTCTCTGGTGTGTCTTCGTCTTGTGGAAGATCCAGCATATTGCCCTGAAAATGATACAATGATAGGATGATATACGGTGTTATCTCTGACTCTTGGCGAGACTATGGCAGCATCTCAATTACTTCTTCTTTTTTTATTTTGTTTTTTTAAAGGAAATTGCCCATCACAAGACCAAAGGCCACTCGAGGTGTGGGCTACAGAGGAGAAGTGTGGAAGAACCAGCCCCTCACACTGAAACAAGACAAGATAATCTAATCTCTGCACAGTATGAGTAGGGTTGGGATGGGTAACTAGTCCACTGCAAGGCATTAATAATGCCTCTACCCATATCAGGCGTAGAAGTGTCATAGCCCAGGCTGGGCTCGAACCCACAACCTGCAGATAATTACCCGCAGGCCACGAATTCAATGCCTCAGACCACTAGGCCATGGCACACCACTTTGCTAAAACAATAGTGCGTGTCCATACAAAGTCGCTTCAGCTACTGCAAATGCGTGTATGTTTAACTGCAAGCCACGGCCAAGTAATTTGTGTGCTGCCTTGCCTTCCTCAGCCCGTCCTAAGCCCTTAAAGTGAAATGGCGCCCTCTTGAGACATCTTATGGCCAGGTAGCTGTTGCACAACAGAGCACCATTGGTCTGTATTGTACAAAAATTTGTTTCTGTTTATGGAAACAGGGGAATATGAGCTTCTTAGAGACAGATCATGTGACAGCGATAAAAGGGTTTCAATTCTCCAAAGCCGCACAGAAACAGGTGTTTTTGCCAAGGTCAGGTAACAAATACCGACTCCAGTTGCCATGACAATGGCTATCAAACACATGTATGCTGCACGGACAGATCCAGGAAATTGAGAGGAAGATGTTCTCCATGAAAACACGGGGGAGGGACAAGATTGACGATTCCTGAAAAATAATTTTGAGCTATCATTTCAGACCCTGCTTGTACGTACCACCATTTTATAAATTGCATCTACGATGTCCAGCATCTCTTGCTTAGTGATGAAGCCATCTTGGTCCAGGTCGTACAAGTTGAATGCCCCTACAATGAAAATTGAAGGGAACATAAACACAACTAAATGACAATTGCATTTGTTGGGGAGGGGGGGGGGAGAGGATTTAACACATTATTAAAGTCTTACAAATGGCTGCAGCAATGTGACTAATAAAATTGAAAGAGATAATTAACGAGGCTTTCAACAACAAGTGGTTACTAACTAATCCTACCGAATTGGTTGGTAGGCAACTGCTTCTTGAGCTCATCTGCAACTCCAACATCTCTGCCTACCCCACTGCCGTCTTAGTATTGTAAACTGTCAAATTCTCAAAGGATTCTACACTGAACAAAGTACACGCAGCCTGGATGACAGGGCTATATGATCATTCCGTGGATGTGTAACATACACTGAAGCACGGTGGTTAATATATTAACCTTTGATTGCTCATCCATGAAGCTTAGAGCACATTTTGCACTCATTTGTCCACACAAATGCGAGCGGCACTTACAGTCTAATTTCTCATCTAGAGTCCCTCTCGATGTCACCGATAAGGCACGGATAAACTCCTTGAATGAGATATAGCCGTCCTGAGGAGGGCAAACAGAAAGAAACGATCAATCCTCTCATCTACATGTATTTCTATCTTAAATACATGAACATTCAATACAAAGCTGAGCAATGACATAGGGGAGTCAGGTTGGCGCAGTGGTTACTGTCCTTGACTTCTACCGCTTTGGCCCGGGTTCGATCCCTGTCCTGGTCCACATGTGGATTGGGTTTTCAGTCCCTACCTGATTCTGTGAGTTGCCAACAGAATTTTCTTCTGGGGTTTTCCTCCCACCTCTAAAACTGTAATTTCTTCTCATTGTCTTCTCTCTACAGGTTTCTTCAGGCTTTCGAGCTACAGTGCCTAGGGCACTTTTGAGGAATCCTTGGTTACATTTATACCGGAAACAAATAGACCGAAGCGAGGTTTGAACCTGGGGCTGCTGGACATCAAAATTTCAAATCCTGTCCCTGGAGTTGAAAAAATTAGGAAGAAATGCTTCTATCACGGTTCACTTGAGTAGCTTGTGACTTGACTTGAGGCTGGATGACTAGTGATGCACTTGTTGGGACTTGTGATGGACTCAATTTCCAACAACTGGAACCTGGGCCCAATTTCACGGCGCTGCTTAACAGTTAGCAGAAAAGTTGTGTTTTATAGCATAGCAGAAAAATTTGCTAACCTTAAGCACTATTTCACGGCGTGGACGTGCTAACGGTCACGCGTGCATGGAGATTTCTATTGTTACGTCACTACGTTAAGCACATTTTTCCCCCCGAGGTTAGCGTGCCTTTTGCTGTGCTTATGCTTACGGTCTCCGTGAAATAGATGAAGACTCTGTTAGCATAAAATCGTGTGCTTAGCAGCGCCGTGAAATTGGGCCCTGGTCAGTTTGACATTCAGGTTTACTTGTTATTTTCCCATCAAAAGTTCAGTGGAAACTTTAACAAACCTACACAAATTCTAGACTTAAATCTGGGTGAATACTATAAAATATACCCTGGGTAAGCACATGTCCCATAAATGGAAACGGAAGATGGGGGATGTACCAAAAGACCTTTCTAACCTCCATCTGAATACAACCAATATCCCCCTCCCGCCCCTACCTAAAAAAGGAGTCCAAGACCAATGTGTTTTTGAAAAATTTACTGAAAGAAATCCACAAATTGAGCATTGCAAAACAGACATATCACCACCAATGAGAAATGTCATCAAAATGAACTACCGTAATAACATCTTACGCCCGGAAGGAATTTTGTAATTTTAGAATTCAGTAGAAGATGCAATTATTTCTGTTTACTTGAAGGCAAGTACAGCTTATTCTACCGGTATTCTGAATGTGAACAGAGCCGTAATTTCTTCGCGTGAGTGTCGGGCGTCGGCAATATGCATTCGACCCCATGTCTAGGCAGCTTATTACATCATCGCTAGCCAGGGGAGTCTTACATCATGAGACTCCTGGGCAAACAAGTCAGAAATTTTTACTTTTTTGAGACTCATTGTCAGCCAATCAGATTCTCTGCATAGAACTTGTGACATTTCCTACGCACTGAACATTCAGGGTCAACTCTCTATAAAGCCAATAGGAGAGTGCTTTTCAGGACAGCACAGCATGCTGCCGTTCCATTGGTTAGGTCAATTCTGGGTCAGCTTTTGCAAACAGCAATCTGATTGGTCAAAACGGCCCATGTTTGGAAGTGTTCATGAATAATCTCACAAGGTGAAAATAGGAAATATGTGGACACTGTGTCCCAGGCACCGTCGTACATGTAAGTCTTACGACGTACTACTGTCTTACGACATATAAAAGTAAGACTACCCTGGTAACCAAGGATGCAGCTTGAAGGAGGATTGAATGTTTCACCAAGCTAATTTCCTCCTGTCTTGACTGTAAATGTATTTCCTCTGTGCTGATTGTAAGCAGTTTCAAGTTTCAGGGATAGCTTTGTCTCTGAAAGCTGAAACCCAGCAAAGCTGTCAAACCGATGTGTCAAACTCAGATAGCGGAAATTACAAACTTGAGGTCTGCTTGAAATCCCATGTTATTTGTGTGAAGCTCGTTCTAATGTACGCACAGTATGTGGTTACATAATAAGAAGTTAGGAATTCTTAAAGATGGCTGCAACTCAGAACGCCGATGTCTTTTACAGTTCCGAGATGATGAGAACCCACAAGCATGAGTCTTGAGGTGCTCTTCATTTTGACATAATCACCAAGTTTGACAATTTCTTTTTAATTCCATCGTACAATGTTTGTTAAATGGGCCGTAGGCATAACTCAAAAGGAGCTCTGGCCACTTGACTGATTCAGATGGGTGGAGTAATAATACTTATTAGGATAGTCAACGGAATTATGCCTGTCTGTAAACAAGAGCAGAGTTGAGTTCATTATTATTGTTTACTGGTGAACGGAAGATTTCCTTGTTTTATTTTAGCAGCTACTCACGAAGCAAACGTAAGTACATGAACATGTCACGGTCAATGTTAACCAAGTAAATGTAACCAATAGAAAGTACCGGTGCATGGAGTGGTACATGTAGAAAGACATAACACAGCACAAGTACATGTAAGACTGAATTCACATCAGCACAGTCACTGCAACAGGTCTATGTTTCAAGAAATGGCATTAAGAGTTTGCTCTGTGTTTTCCATGTCATTATCTTTCTCCTCCCTCAAGCTGAACGGAAGCTCTTCTGCTGCCACATCTGCAACCACCCTCTATCCCCACTCCTGGAACCCTATAAAATTTCTCTCAACCATCATCCATGACTGACTGCCAATGGGGCGAACAGCGTGCATAATAACTGGCTGCGGTGCTTCAGAAAAATTGAAATAATATTGGCTTTGCAATCGGCAGCCCGCGAGTTGTTAGATTGAGTTTGTCCGTGTCCGTCGAGAAGAGGGAAGTAACCTAGGCAATTTTTTTTTAATTCAGAGTGAACTCCTTCCAACGAAAGCTGCATCGACAAAGCACACAGTCTCGTGTGTCAGGTGCGCACCGTGCATGGCGGTACGCAGTACTGGAAAATTTAATTTAGATTTCGTTTCCAAAATTTCACGAGTTGGGATGGGTATTTCCCAGGTTGTTTAAATTAAGGCCTAGATCTGCTGGGGGCAAAATTTCTTGAGGTCGCTAAGAATCTTCTGCAAAAACAGGTTTCTCCATAGAGCTGTATTAAATTACTAGAGCGCTAGCTCCTCGTTCCCCTGTGTGGCGATACTTTGAAGCTGTCCTGGGTGCTGACATTATGAATTCATGTGCGTGTTTGTGTGTAATACAATGAAATCACACGGGATGGATTTCGGATAATGTACTCAAAAATGCAATAAGTAAGTACAACATACGTGAACAACATAATCACATTTTCTGTGAGTACGACAGTCAAAAAAAGTCATGCCAAAAATGTCAGCAGTGCTTAAGTTATATGCATGCGTTTGTGCAGGTTTGCGCAGTACCAGAATCAGTTTTGGGTGTATCGGCTTCGATAATGCACTGACCATAGAATACAAAACGCAGATATGCAAATAGCCACGCTAAAGCCGTACTGAATTTTGAGTTTTCCATAGGTTTATGCACAAACATGGATGCACCCAGCAGGCTTAATTTTGTACAGTGAGTTAGCGCTCTAGTAATTAAATACACATGTAGCTCTTTGATTTGTTCCCCATTTGACCGAGACAATAAGCACTAAAGCAGAGAAAAGAACATGCTAACTTTTGAGGCAGAATTTGCCTGAAAGAGTGATGCATCAACACATACAGGCACTGCCATGTCTTTTGGGAAATACAGTTTAAGGTTGACAGTTTTCCTGGTGTATGTAAAGTGAGCTCATATTTTGAAAATTGTTTTGGAATTTAACAAGCTTAAAGTACACTACACCTCTGAATTTACATAGGGTGCATACCTATGTTCCCCAATGCCTATGTTCCCCATTACCTACATTTGTACATGTATGTTCCCCAACCCTATAACCCTAACCCCTAACCCTAAGGATTTTGTGGAACATAGGTACTGTGGAACATTGGTATTGGGGAACATAGGTATTGGGGAACATACAGGTATTGGGGAACATAGGTATTGGGGAACATAGGTATTGGGGAACATAGGTATTAGGCAACATAGGTATTGGGGAACATAGGTACAGTTGAGTCTCGTTAATACAAACTCGTTCGGACCTACATGTAGCCATATTGTTTGTTGTATCAGAATTTTGTATTAAGAGGAACATCAGTCCCATTCATTGTGCACATAAATGCACAGTCGGGACTAAGGCTTTATGTTTGTTATAAACAGAATTTTGTATTAACAGAGTTTGCACTAACGAGATTCGACTGTATTGGGGAACATAGGTATTGGGCAACATAGGTATTAGGCAACATAGGTATTGGGGAACAAAGGTATTAGGCAACATAGGTATTGGGGAACATGGTAGGTATTGGGGAACATAGGTATTGGGGAACATAGGTGTTGGGGAACATAGGTATTGGGGAACATAGGTATTGGGCAACATAGGTATTGGGGAACATAGGTATTGGGGAACATAGGTGTTGGGGAACATAGGTGTTGGGGAACATAGGTATTGGGGAACATAGGTATTGGGGAACATAGGTATTGGGGAACATAGGTATTGGGGAACAAAGGTATTGGGCAACATAGGTATTGGGGAACAAAGGTGTTGGGGAACATAGGTATTGGGGAACATAGGTATTGGGGAACATAGGTATTGGGGAACATAGGTATTGGGGAAAATAGGTATTGGGGAAAATAGGTATTGGGGAACATAGGTGTTGGGAACATAGGTATTGGGGAACATAGGTATTGGGGAACATAGGTATTGGGGAATATAGGTATTGGGCAACATAGGTATTGGGCAACATAGGTATTGGGCAACATAGGTATTGGGGAACATAGGTATTGGGGAACATAGGTATTGGGGAACATAGGTATTGGGGAACATAGGTATTGGGGAACACACTGGTGTTGGGGAACATCGGGTAAACCCCATTTAACATGGTCATTATTTTGGGCAGTTTGGAGTATTGTAGTGACTGAAATGGTTGAAATTAATCGCATCAGCCTTGTAATACCAGTACAATGGCTGATACAGGGTATCACAGTTATCACTATAAAACATTGGGAACAGATCGATCCCACAACAAAGTGATAAAACTCTCTCATTAAATTAGTTTGGTCAAGCTCCAAAATGACAAGCTCCCTACTGACAAACTCTGACCAACGCACGCACAACATAAGTCAAGCAAACCATCATTTCTAGAGAAACCAACCGCGAAGCTGCAGACATGGATTACAATTTGCTGGCAACTCGCCATAAGATTGTCAAATTATAATAACTGCAGACTTTGAAGATAAAGAACTCCAGTAAAAAAAACTCCATCCATCATTTGTCTCGAGTCTGGACAAGGAGAGCATCTCGTATTGCCGAGGATGAGACCCTCTGTGTCAACGGAGCAGAGACAATACTTCCTGCCTCGTGCGTACGTTCGCACAAAAAGGGCTGCAAAAAAAAACTAGACAGGCCTTTCAAGGACTCAGTATCAACTTACAATCCTCACGGATCTCAGGCTTTCTTTATGGTCAGGGATCAAGTTCCGCTGGCGCGATAATCAAAGAAGCGGATGGGAATCGGATTCATATTGGCTGCCAAAAAAACCCGCCAAATCTAGACGGGGAAAAAAGTGCACAAGTCATCAGCCGGAATGTGTACTTTTGAAACAACTGCCTGCTAAAAATAGTCTTGTTTAAACTGATGCTTAAAAAGTGTGATAGATATTCTTTTGGATAAACTATAGACATGCACTATCTGTTGGGAATCATATATATTTCATGTCAGAGTACAGATGGATGGATGGTCATCGTTGCTGGTATCATACTTTTGTGAAAATCCTATTCAAAGATTCTATGACTTCATTTCTACCAGTTTCATTTTTTACTTGTTTTTACGTGGTACCAGTATGAACAGACATACATGTACATGTATACAAGTGTAATGTTTAGACAAGATTTTTAAAGCTCAGGTCGATCTCCACATGCAGAGAAATTAATTGAATGGGTCATATTTTAGTTTCATGGAAACCGTTGGCCATCTGCAGGTAAATGCACTAGACAAATGATATTATCTGCACAGTGCTCAATTAGTCTTAGGGAGGATCATAATGTGGTGAGCGTTCTGACGATATCAAATGTCTCATTTACAAAGCCATTCATCATATCGTATCAACGCAGGCACAGCGTAAAATGGCCAGAGACTGTGGAAATCCCACAGATGATCTGTCATGTTCATCGGTCCAACGGACTGATACTACCGGTAAGCTGTTCGCAAGACAGGATGTGAAAATATCGGTGTATAATTAATGTGGCTGTGCAGCAGAGAAAGTTTCAGGTATTGTGTTACAGTGTACATGGGGTACCTTCAATTCCCGAAACAATATTGGATGTTCGTGAAAAAATACAACTGTAGGCAATCATCGTCCAATGTCCAAACCCCAACCCCGCTCAGTCCAAAAGGATCCAACTGTCTCACATATCCGTTGGATCCTGTTGGACTGAGCAGTAAACACCTTGTATGTATTCCTGTTGAAATCGGTTGGATTCAGCAGGCAACTGAAAACATTCAGAGTCAGATTCTGTTGGGTACTGGTAAATAACGCCAAGTTGGACTCTGTTGGATCCAGCAGCAGACAGAAAAATAAGGTACAGTTGGATTCTGTTGGTTTGGGTATAGTCATTTTTTTTTTTATGTTCAGGTACCCAACAACTTGACAAGTTGGATTGTGCGGGATTATGAGTAACCGTTGGACTCTGTTGGATTTAGAAGGGTAGTCAACTATTAGGGCGTACATGATTACAATCAAGGCTCTCTTCAAGCTCTTGCCTCACCGACTCCTATCACCCCACCTCAGACTGAAAATGAAAACAAAAATCCTAGGTTTCCAATATCAAATGGATAAATATACTGTACATGTTTGTACTGGAACACATTTCTGCGAAAACTTGCAAACATTATGTGACACATTTTAAAAAATTTTCCACATTGTCTTAACCAGCGATATGCTGTACATGATTTTCAACATGTTCACAATGTATCACTTTCATTTTCATTACTTCTGTCTCGATGAAGGCTATCGGTTTTTATTAGTATTGAAATAGTACTTCAAATATTGACTATGCGAAAAGCAGACTTTACATTCAAGCAGCATCAAGCTCCAATCCTGTCCATTTTTTGCTCACCTGATGATATTTTTTGCCAAACTTTTCACTGATGCGAATGTTTCTTTCAAATTAATTTATATGTAAAAATCAAACAGAAGGTACATGTAGGCCTACAGGGTATCTGTGACATTTAAGATGAATGTAAATTTGTGGTCATTTGATTTTAAAAAGCTGAAGATCTCCCCAGAAAAATTTTAAAAGCATTTTATGCGTGAATAGCAAAGAATTTGCAGAATGATTCAGAGTGATTACTTTTTTTGTGTATCATTCATTGCAGCACTGATGGCTAAACTGAATGCCAGGAAAAAAAAACCCAACAAAACAAACTCAAGAGCTTTTCATGCGATTCAATCTTAATCAACTTAAGGGTGGGGAAAAAATCACGAACAGGTTGACGAAATCCGCCCCTTGAGGGTGTGTTGACAGATAATCAAATTAGTCTTCTATAGTGCAGTGTGCGTTGACGTTCCAGCATGCTAAACCAGAGACATATGGTATAAAGACACAAGCACACTGGGAATATCAATACAGTGAATGTACATGTATATTGATTTTAAATATTTCTGTTAGAAAAAAAAAAACACGTCATTCGAAGCGATGGGTCATTGCAAGTGAATTTGTAGGCTGGTATTGCCATGTAATGAAACGGATGGCAATTTTGTTACTCTGACAGATGGACGCATCAAGCTGTGTTGGATCAATAATAGAAGTCATGATATCGTGGCGTGCGGTATGACACAGGCTAGTTTTAAAAACTAGAGGAGGAAAATTGATATGTAATAAAAACAATGATGTCATCCATGGAAGACTATAAGAGGAATATACCACTGGTCAGGAAGGGTAATTAAACACATCCCCTGGGTAATTGGCCCCTCGCAGGGGCTGGCTCCACCCCCAAGCAGCAATGGAATGTCCGGGCGTCAAAAAGGTGTTACCTGCATGGCGTCGTGCTTTTGGTTTTCCATTTCTGTTGTTCTGGGGTTTTTTTGTGTGTGTTCTGGGGTGTGTGTTGGAAAATTAACTCTTCTGAGGAATGCTGGCTCTAATGAGATTTTGTTTGGGATGTGTTATTTTGGTGGCATGCTCATTTTAAATGGACAAATTGTGTTTTCGTAATCTGTCCAAATGTGAAGAGAGTGCATGCACACTGTCGGGCTACATAACATACACATACGTCATCGTACTGCGAAGAGCACATAAAAGAAGCGTTTTGATTTCAGCGCTCTTATAATGGGCTCTCAACATTTTCATTTTGACTAGTACGGCAAGATGTTTACATTCATTCCAACTACACCAACTGAGTTTGTCCAATTTGTGACCAGTTGTTTTTCTGTTACTCAGCAGTGGCTTGATACATGGATGGACAGAAATTAACAGGTCAGGTCGTGGCCAGGAGAGGTCCTCCAGCAACACAGGCCCAAATAACAAATAAACCAAAACAGCGCATTGTTTGGATGAAACTTTGAAGTCACTCAGTTGTCATTTTGTTGCAGTTTACGAATGAGGAAGTTTTTTTTTTACCTTGTCTGCATCAAAGACATTGAAGACAAAACTGGCAAACTTGGAAGGATCCCCGTTGGGAAAGAACTGTTGATATATCGTCTGGAACTCCTACAAACAATGACGAATATAATATAGCAAAATCGTTTAAAACAAAAATGTCATGCTTTCAAGAGTATGTCTACAAATAACATGTTGTTTCACTTTCATACTATATTTCTGATTTGATAGATAATTTGTTTGGCAGAAAAATATTTCTTTTTATTGTGATGTAAACTGTTAGCTCTAGTGATGGATGGTTCAGCCTCTTCAATAACCAAGTAGTTTTCAAATACAAAAAATTAACAAGTTCTTCCCAAATTTTGCATGGTAAGTTAAATAACATTTCACAGATATCACAAAAGCTGTAAGTTGTGCAAATGATACCTTCTCAACTACTTTATTAATGATCTTTACATTGTAAGCTGTCACTCACAAAGGAAATCAACTCTATAAAAGACAGTCTGAGAATTTTAGACTTCCGTTTTACGGTCAATTTCAGATCTGGAAGCAATCATATAATCTAGTTCCATTCTGTTCCACCTGGCACGTGCTCGATCAAGGGGAAAGAAATTATGAAATGGTCTCGCCACCTCACAAAGGAGTTCTAAAGTGTCTGAAGAACGTCTCACAACTCGCCTCTCCCTGTTGCCTCATCAGGCTTTCAGAGCGCGGCTGACCTGTTTTGGTCCGGATACCAAGTAACCTGAATTTTTTTGTCTCCGCGGAGATCGATGACATTAACATCGCGGCTACCGCACCGGAGCGCTTTAGAGACTATTACATCATGCACGCTTGACTTTATGAAACTGGGAGGCCCTTGAGGGTCCCGCTGAAGTGAGGGGGAGTATTTGTAGAGGCATGCCACTGCAGATCAGATATTGCATGGGTTAGAAGACTGCTGCCGGCAAACAATTGAGAGTGCGGCAGATATTTTGCAGTGTGTAATTGATTCGGTTTCAGAACAGATGCCCTTACTCAATAACTGTCTTACAGCTGCAATCCCATGATACCTGAGCATGGATTACAAAACTGAAATGAGAACCACTTTGTTTGCGCTGTTCGCAGTTGTCTTTTATCACTGATTCAAGTTACAGTTATTCCAATGAGTGGGGAAAACAAGCCAATTGCTGATGCTGACAGTAAAATATGAAGAATTTTTTTTAAACTGATACCTGGCAGCTATTTTAGAGGTTAAGTACACGTATGCAGTCAAGGAACATGCAGTCAAGGAAAGCATTGCCTTGTACTTGCAAAATAAAACAATTGAACTTGAAATGTAGAAATTATGCAGAAGGAAACAAATCAAGTCTTATGAAAAGGAAAAAAACAACAAGAAATTTGAAAAATGGATTTGATCGATTGCCAATAATTGCACTGCTCTGCTCTAAAAACTTTTTTTCTGATATTGAGCTTAAAATTACAAGGAAAATTGAAAAAAAATCTGCTGTCATTGATGAATGAGTTTTAAACACAGTATGACAAAGTGAGACCAAAAAAAAAGGGAAAAATTTTCCACTTACTGCATTGATTAGTATGTGCATGTCAAACATAATTAATCTAAACCTAACTATAAGCAAGCTTCATTGGTCAATGTATAGAAGTGTACTTCTGTTTTGTAGCCAAAAGCTCAACAAAATGTTTTTGTCGGCAAAAAGATCATCTTTTGGACAGCGTGAAATCGGGCCCAGAAGCTGAGCACAGGGAAAGTTAACTACAAGTGGTTTGTTGAGTCTCGCACGTTGAACATGTTCTAATCGTGATGCTGATGCTTAGATAGACGAGCTTGGCATTTAATATGGCCTAAACACTCAAACTTGTCTAAACTTGGAGATAAGAAGGGGAAAAAAAAGGTGTCGCAGCTAAGTGGCCTTCTCTTGCCAGCATTACCATGGCAGCCGCATCCAGGGAGCCAAATTAACGGCCTGACATTTTCCTTTTGTAAGGTATCCCTAATGGGCTATCGGAACCCGATCAAGATGTACCGCGTTCATTAACGCACACGTGGCTAGATGGATGTGCCTGTCAGTTGCCCTTGGCAGTCCAGTCTTGCCTGCCGGCTTAGCAAAAAAAGGCCGAGTATTATCGAGTAGAAGTGTCGAGATCTGAATGTACAAATGTACCGGTATATCAACCATACTGCCAGGTTTCGCCTTTCAAGACCCTGAAGGACCTGATAAGGTTTCCCAGCAGCCTGTGAGACGGAAATTCGCGCATCGAGGGTTTTTGACTCAACAGGGCTCCTTAGAACTCTTGCGAACCACATTGGACAGAGAGGGTGAAGTGAAACACAAACATTTGACAAATATTGCTTCGATCAAAATTTTGTGTTGTTACCGGTACATCCCTAATCTCACCTAAAGCTAAAAAAATATTACAAAAAAGTAAACTGTAGTATGCAGTACTTCAGCATATAAGTAAGGCATAGCACTTTCTAGCACTTGGTACCTGCATACATAATTTTTGCAGTACTTTGTAGTATGTGGTACTTTAGGGGGTTAATGTTAAAGGGAATGTATATCATTGGCTTTTGCTTTAATTTTCAGAAATGAACTATTTGAGGGGTCAGTATAATAGATCAAATATTGTTACACTGACATGTTTGAATTTTTGTGTTCGAAAATGCAGGAAAAACCAAGAAAAACAAAAATGTTCAGGTAGTCTGGTTCCCTGACTCCACTGAAAATGAAATGGATCGATTTATAGATGCCGGAAAAATGTACAGTAAGGGAACCAGTCTAGCTGGCCTGCCCCCATTCATGAACATGCAACCAATAGCAAACAACATTTGGACTTAAAAAAAAGGTAATTTAAAGCAGCAGTTGAAAATAGTTAGGTTTTTCCAACAGTGGTCGGCCGACCACCGTTGGAAATGTATACAAAAATACCATTTCCTTGAAAATGACTTCACACCAGGTGTCATAATTTTACAGGACGCTTTAGACTGTCATTTACCAACATCCTAGTAAGGTATTTCGTAAAAAGTTTTATTTTTCTATGCTTGCAAATGTTGTATTTTCCCTTTAAGAGTGTTTTATAATTCCTTCGTTCATTTTGACTTCACATTCAGTTCAAACTTCGATAGAGCAAAATCTATTTATTTGTGCAGATGTGGTTCTGGTAAAGGGTCTAAACAAGTCCAAAAACGGTATTGACCACAATTTCACCAACTTCCACAAAAAGAGAATAAAATTGCAGAAAATAAAGTTCTGAATTTTTTTTTTAATGCAACAGAACAAGAGCTTTTAAAAAAAGTAAAGAATTGTCTGGGTGCCAGTTGACTGTAGGTCTTTGAAATGTAGAAGAGATCTAGCAACTTTTGTTTAAGAAGTTAATTGTGTCTTCAGAAATGTGTCTTCAGAAATAGTCGAAGTTCACTTAATTTTCAAGGCTTTAGAGCTTAGAGAATCACTTAGAAAATTACATACAAATGTTTTTTTCCCTAAGTACTCACTTCTTTTCTCAAGGCGCCACTCGGGCAATCTTTCATGAAATCTCGATGCCTGTTGAAAAAAAGAAATATCCAGTGAGCAACCAAAAACCAAATAAAGTGAGGGAACCTCCAATGCCCCACAATTTAAACACATTGAATAGTTAAAGAGCACATGTCCTGCCACAAAAGAGTTCAATTATTTGCCTCCTCAAAAATGGTAAGCAAGATAGACTAGATTATCTTTAAAACAAAAAAATAGTAGCCCCTTCTTATAAGCCACAGGCTGTATTCAGGCATACAACTGGGAAGTGACAAAAAAAGAGGAAACTCCAATCTTTACAAGACTTTCCAGTTTTTTTTTAAATTTTTTTATGGCATAAGTGTGAAGTGAAAAACGAGGAAATCAGCTGATCCGAGGAAAAGTTGCATGCCTGCGTATTTAAGTAAAACGTGCACCTAACCAAATTATCAGACTTCTCAAATTTCATTTTCTAACGTCAGCAATCTTCTTCAATTCACCCATGCTCATGCTTAATTTGTCTCAGGAGCAGTTAAAAAAAAAAAAAAAATCAAGGTCGCTGCAACCCTAACTCCAACCCATGTTGTCACCAAAAAAAAAAAAATTCCCACTTCTTAATAATGGCTACCGGCTGATCAAACACAAACAATCATTCATCCGTGCTGATATTTGCCGACTCTTGATTAAAGATCATCCCTCTCTAATGAATAACCAAACGCTTTGTGTATCGCTTCCACCTGAACTCACACAGTGTGGTGTCAGTGTTATTGCGATACCCTATTGCAGTGTAACGGTTGCCATGGTGTTTGTTACCGGGCTGATGACTTCGCATCGTGTTCGTGATTTTTATATGCGTTTTAAAAAGGATTATAATATTCTGAAATAAAATTCTTCATGAAGCGACGAGTTCTGTAAAAAATCAGAATGCTTCAGTAGAAACATAGAGGATGTTTAAGTTGAAGTTTTCGGCACTTGTTACCATGGTTACTGAAAACTTGAAGACTACTTTAAAACAGTTGTAGACAGATACTGTAAATGTATTGTTCAAGGATAAGAACTAAATATTTCTTACTTTCTTGAAAAAGGGGATGTAACTTTTCAGTACACATACATGTACGGTGCAACAGATCTAGACCTGCTCCTACATGTAACTAAAAGAGTTTGCAAATTTCTGGAAATTTCATTCAAAATTTGTTTTGTACAAGGCCTTAGGTTCCTTGAAATACTCACCACTGTTGCAGCTCCTTTTTGTCAACTGCAATGAAAAACAGAGAGAAAAATACATTGTGTTACTGCGAAAGTTCACACAGCATTCATGGAGGCCTTCAGTCGTTCTTGCTTTTGTCGCGTTGTGTGGAAACCCTTCATTGGTGGAGAGTTGTCCACGTAAATTGAGGCCGCTCCCTTGCTCGACAATTGACACTGAATTGCCAGTTTCGGGAACCCGTTGGGCCTAAAAAGGTCATCCATTTAATTTTTTTTTGCATTTCACATACATGTTGTGTGCCTTTCTTGAGACACAAAAATGGAAGAGAGCAGAATTCGAACCTGTTTTTTAATATTTATTTAGGATCTAAAAAGAGGGACATACACGTACGGTACTTCGCAATCAAAGTAATGATGTAATCATGGTCAATTCCGGTCGTTGGCATAGTAAAGGGATCACATGCTCCACCAAAGATGGCAGCCACACATTAAGGTATGGTGGTGACTCTTTGCCAATTATCCAAAGGTGATTTGTGGTGGCCAAATTGCTATGAAATCAAATCATCTTGTCAACTTCCGCTTCGACAACACAACAAGATAATTTATTGGCATCGTTCAAGCTAGTCAGCGAAACAAGAACTTACAGAGTAGCGGTCAATATTTGGAAGTTTGTGTTCTTTTTTTCGTGTGTTTGTTCACCATACTTGTAAACAGCCGATTCGGTTGCTATGTGTGAAGCATGATCGTCAAGGAAAGTGTAGTGACCCGGGTCATTATGACGTACCGGTAACACTTCGATGGGGAATAAATAGAAGTGTTTTCTAACATGTTTACAAAATACTGTACATTTATCCTGTTTATATTTTGAATAAATGTACCGTAATTTTCGGAATATAAGCCGCGCGGTGTATAAGCCGCAGCATGCAAAAATCTGCAAATCAAGATTTGAAGTCGGTGTATAAGCCGCACTGGCGCATAAGCCGCACCGACCGCAGCGGTTTCAATGTTGTGCGAACTCCAAATTCTAGTCAAAATGCTTTGAAGCAGTACCATTTACACTACGAAAGCTATAAAAAAGGGCCACAAAAGTTATATCAAATCATTAACAGTCGATACTCTTACAAACAAATATGAAAATTGATGATGTGTATAAGCCGCAATAAACATTTTCATGGGCAAAATCAACATATAAGCCGAGGCTTATATTCCGAAAATTACGGTACTGAGCAATACAAGGGGAAATATATACAGGAGCATCTAAAGTACTGGTACATGTACTTGAGCCCATTACATAAGAATAAGCAATGTGACACCCGCATTGTGCGTCGTCACAGGTTGTCGTCGGCAGGTCACGTAGCAGTCATTCCTGAGATAATACAATTATGTTTCTCCCAGTATGGTGCCCTGCCAGTCTTTGTTGGCTCATCATTGATGAATCACTGCCAAGGAGTGCAGGTACTATTTATCAACACGAATGGGCTATTTTCATCAAAGGATCAGTCAAGATCAGCTGGTAACAAACTCAACATGTATGTAGATGTAGGAATATTAGAAAATTTCTCCTTCTGTTTCATTTTGCAATACTGTCTTTAACATTAGTAACGGCATTTAAAGATTCTTATGGAAAAAAATGTCCTTGTACCGGTATACTCAGCTATTAAACTATTATGGAAAGTGATCGTTTTAAAATGATAAAGAAACTTTTGCATAGATCTTTTTATTTTCAATAGCTCAGACGGAATTCCTGTTTCTTCACAATGGCTGGCTGCTAGACGTAGTCAAAACAGATAGAAACCGGAGTGGAAATATAAAATGTACAATAACGTTTCTGTAACTGATCGTCTGACCTTGCTAAGTTACAACAATTTACCTAGTGCTTATTAGTGTCAATCAAATCCACTATCTAAAGGGTTTGGGGAAAATGCTAAAAGAAGAATAAGGCCAAAAAAAAAGTCAACAAAAAAAGTCTCCTGTTTCTGGTATGGAGCCTGCCCCAAAAGTGGTGCGGCGACTTTTTTTTCCTTCCAATATTGACTGATGACTGAAAATGGTGCCCGACTAAATTTAGTGCAAAATATATGGGAGTCCAGAGAGGCCACATAAAGCTTATACTCGATCGTAACCCCATCTAAAAACACGTCAAAATTGTGCAGCAGCAGGATTCCAGTCAAACCAGTGAGTTTGGCGGTTTTGAGACATCATCTTACATTGAAAAAAAAAATTTCATTTTGCATGGCTACGGCGACGCGCACATACCAGAAACCAGAGACTTTTTTGGGCCTAAGACATGTAAGAGAGAAGAGCACATTTGTTACATACATGTTGTATACAAACAATGAATGTTTATGAGTGCAATGGTAAGAATAATTTCATGAGGTGACAGATGGAAAGCTCCATTCCACGAGACAAGTGGAATTGAACATTCCACCTGTCACCGAATGAAATTGTTCTTTCCATTGCACCAATGTGAAACAATACACAACACCTGAAATAAATACTCGTCATCTGATTGGTCAGAGCCACCAAAAGTGTGACCGTGCAATGGAACTTCTAATTACCGTGCAATAGAACTTCTATTTACCGTGGAATAGAACTTCTATTTACCGTGGAATAGAGCTTCTATTTTTGGGGCGCGGCTGGGCAGTGGGTTCGGACGGAATAATTAAAAGGACATGTGATCAACAACCAACCAATCAGATCATTGGGATTTATTTGCATTGTACAATACATAATGCAAACTGAAGGTGAGCCTTCATACCGTAGTTCAAAGTACCGTAAAATATCATCCAAACAAAAAATAATTTTTCAAAAGGCTTATCATGTTTTACAGAAAACCGCTCTCCATGAACAGGTCAAGAGAATTAGGTAGAAGCAATTTTGCTGGGCATATCTTGAATTTTTTTTGTTCTTTGTTTTTTTGTTTTATTTTCTTCTTCTTCTTTCGGCCACCGGAATTCTCCCTGGGATTGCTCAGAGAGATTTCATCCCAAGATATACTTTATCCGTCTCCCGGACGCATAGTTTCCAGATCTGGTTCTGAGCTGGGGGATTGTAATCTTAAAAGGGTTGAGGCTGGGAGGTTAACTTTTATGTAAAGGTACACGGACCCCTGGCTGTGACTGTATAAGAGACGGATTTGAGCTATACATTTATCTGTGGAGCACTTACATTTATTAGCATGGTTGTCAGTCATCAGGAATATCTGACATGCCTGAATACAAGTCTACGCTTGCCTATTCTGAGTTTAGGACATTACCGATACATGTATGTACTATTCAAAATGACTTAATAAAGAGGCCCTTTGGGTCCAGAAAATGCAAACAAAAGAAATAAATTCCATTATTTCAGGATGTGAATAAGGGAATAAATGTGAGCTTGGCCGTTTTAAATACTTTGTTTTAAACCGGCGAGGGGCCTGGCAGCGGATAATGGCCCGAGTCGAAGGCAAGGACATTATCCGAGACCAGGCCCCTAGCCGGGTTTAAACGTACTTGCTGAAAACCGGCCAAGGACATATTTATTCCCATTCATAAATAAGTCACAATTAGTCCAAAATAAGTCGAAACTGTATATTATCATGTAGGCCGTAGTATGAGCTCAGGTTTTCCAGGTAGGGGGCAACAAAGATATTAGAATCAAATCCTACAAGAGACTGCATCACTTTAAGGAGCGACACGAACCACAGACACCCAAATTAAAGTGAGAACTCATCTGGAAGTTATGTGATTTCCTCTCTCCGCGTGAGCAGGGGAGGAGTTAGGAAAAAGATGGAGCCAAAAAAATGGAGTCAGAATGAGAGAATTCTGGACTTACACGTACTGCTTCCCCCAGCAATCTCTTCCCCATGAAAAGCAAAATTGTCCAAAAGGTCAGCCAGGTCTAAACGGAACCACGCTCTCAAGCGCGTAAAAGAAATTACTCCTGGCATGAGAGGCTTGGAGCCTGTTCCCCCCTGATAATGAAATGCATTAATCGATGCCGGCTCGATAATGGCCCAGCCTGGCTTGGCTTTAAGGCTTGTCCGTCGATAGCCAGCCAAAGTATCTCTTTACATGGTGTGATGCTTTCTTCACTGAGCTCTTTGGGGGATACACTTGGTCCCCTCTGCAGTGCAGATGCAAGGTTATTCACATTTACTAATGAGTTTAGTTGCCAAAGTATTGTACGGAGGGAATAACTGTCTCGCCCCATAGTGACAACTTGACAGTGCAATTTGGTTGATTGGTTTTTATCAACAGTTTGGCGTGGATTGATCTGAACATGAGCTTGAACACTGAATCATTCAATTTTTTTCCAAATTGTTACTTTTTGCTCCCGAGGCATGTACTACCGGTAGCATGTACATCATTTGTTTTTCATACTTTAGATGCATTTTGTTTGTTTCCAATAATACCACTACTTAAATTTCACAGAAAATTTTTCCAAACCTAACCTGCCGTAGTTTCAGCTTTGTGCATGTTAAACTTTTGGAGAAAACAGTGAAAAAAAAAGATGAGCTTATTTGAGATATGGCATTTGTAATAGGAGGGCGCTATTTGGATTGGGTAAATACAAAAGAATTGACCCATCAAACAGCGCCCCCTATTGATTCTGCCATATTTCAAATAGGCTAATGCACAACCTTTTGATCACAAAATATGATTTCAAGAACTTTTTGTTCCAAAAATCAACCAAAAGACAGATCGTTGGAAAATCGCCTACAATTCTTGATTTCTTCTAAATGACAGCAAGCCTGAGGGAATAATTTCACAGGGTGTTTAGTACCAGGTCGATTTTTAATCTAAGTAGGGTTTTTGATTATAATAATTTAAGGTTACTTTTGGGATACATGTAAACTGCAAATGATTAAAACCCTTTAAAATTTGAAAAATCACAGATAGCCCCTCCAACAAAAGGGCTGTGAAGTGTTACCTACATGTACATTACACAGGGTGAGTCAAAAAAAGCAGAACCCAAACCCCCAAAAATATATTTCATATTTAAAAAAATATGTACATTGTAGCACCAAAATAATAATGACTGGAAAGCCAATTTCATAAGCTACTTTTA